ATTTAGATAGCGTGGGAAGCAGACTGTTTGGTCGGTTAGAGATGCATTCTTGTTTGGTTTTTATATTGCAAGAATGATTGCATGTTTCTATACTTGTGGAAAATTAATAAAGTCTGAGGCATCAATTGAAGATATTGGTCAAATATGCAATGGCTTTTTGGGGATAAGTTTTTCAAAATTAAATTGTTAATTTTATCATGTCCAGGGGCTTTCAGGTAGGTAGTGATTGGTGATTTTATTTATTTCTTTAGGTGATGAGTAGTGTATTTTGTGATGCGAGCCATAAGCCTGTTCGTTTACTGTTTTGTTGATTGTGAGATGAATAGGGTGCGGTTTAGTATTATTCAGGGTGAATGTGGATGCGAAATAATTACCCTGTTGAGCCACTTCTTCGGCTTTCTGAGCAGGTGCGTACAGTTTTCCTGTGGGGTGTCTAGTGGGGGGGGGGGGCATTCTTTTTTCTTAATATTTTGTTTGTAAATTGAAAAATTGATTTTTTGTTAGTGTTCAGTGATTGGATTAGTGTTTGGAAATGCTGATTATTAAAGTTTTGATTTATTTGCGCACTACATTTATTAGTATGTCAAGTTGTAGTATTAACCCTGGTGTGGTAAGTTGTGACCATAGCCTGCGGGCTTTGTTTTTGATTTGTATTAGTTTTACTATTTCTGGCGGAAGTTTATATTGTTTATCTTTGTTTGCATTCTTTGGTTTTAATTCGGTCTCTTTCATTGTGGTGTGTATTATGGTCGTTAATTTGTTGATTGATTACTCTATTTCTAGTGGTAGAAGTAAATTTTAAATTTAGGTTTTGTTGCGCTAGTCAAATTTGATGATAATCAATACTACTAAATAAATTCAACTTTTAACATATTTGGATTTGGTACTCGGGCGTGCGGGGGGGGGGGTATTTGGTGTGTGGTTATTAAGACCGGAATGTGATCCTAGTGTAGTTCGAATAACGTAGTAGCGTGTAGTTTAATTTATTCGGGTTTCACTTTGATTACTAGGAAGGTCTTTGATATCAGAGAATCTGTTTTCGGTTACTGGCTTATCAAGTTCACTTGATAAGAGGTCCGAACCTGTTTTTCACCGGCACATTAATTAATAGAGTTAGATTTTGTGTTTTGATCACTCTAACTGAATTTTTTGGGTTCACGCTCTATATAATTGTCTGTTACTGACATTTTTCTGGAGTCTGAGGAGTCTATTTCTGGTAGTTGAACGGTTGGGGGTTGGCTGAGTTGAATCGGTTCCTTGCCATCGGCGCCGGGGGTATTATGTTGATTGATGTTCTCCAACGTCACATCCATTTCGTTTTCGGTGAATTGATTTGAGTTCTCTGGGATGAAACTTTCCATTGTAGTTGGCTGGTTCTCATGTTGTTAAGAACGAGCAAAGCAGCACTTACGACTTCACTTGTTGGAGGGTCTTAGCTGCATGGCTTTCACTACACTAATTTGCACTGAGTCGCACTTCACCGGCATTGTTTCGAGTAGCACTTGTGTGGTTCACTTCACTACATAATAATTAATTTTTGCGTGGCTCCCCGCCCCTCCGCTATTGGAGTGGCGAACTACGAAGTAACGGTTTTATCGCAACAGATCTGACGGTCGCACAGCGGGGCTCTGACTACCTGTCGCCACCACTGTCGGGCGAAGAATGCCTTCCATCCATCATGTACCAAGTCTAGAAGCGCCAAGTTTTCTCTTCTTCACTGACATTGCAGAAAAACAACTGCCGTCTTTTTTTCGTTTTTCATTTACTTTGCTACGCGTTTAATTACATTTTCCGTTTGAATTTCATTGGTACTTGATTACATCTTCTTTTGTAAGATAATACATATTTTTCTGGTAATTGTTTTACGATTCATTGGTTTTCAATGACTAATGTCTAAGAATCTACTGTATATTTATTTATTGCTAGCCTAAAATCTTTTTCGTTAATCTACTCCGGTCTGATTGCATTTTAACATTTCGGCAGCTCCGACGTAATAAATAAATAAATAGCACTACGCTCCCGGACACCGTCACTTGTTTTGCAAATGTGTCGCATTTCGTCACTATTAAAACTTTTTCAATTATTGTCTTTGGCGAGTCCGTCTGTCTGTCTGGCTGACCGTCACAATAGTAAATCTGTAGTTTCATTAATGGCTTCAGAAAGAAAACACGAACAACAAGATTCACAGAAACGGCACACAAACTCGATTTTCCCACAACGTTAGGGCGCTGAGGCGAATTCGACGCAATAGAAGTGTGCGCAAACTGGGAGCCAAGGCTTTCTGCCCAATGAGCGAGAGAGAGAGCGCACTACATCTACCCCTTAACCCATGGCCGCAAGTCCGGGACGCTGTTGGTAGGCCTTAGCGCGAAAGGAGCTGTTGTGCTTGTTGTGCTGTACGTGCTTTCATACATTATCATTGCCGTTGAAGGGAAGGACATGTGGGAACACACAGGACCCGGATTTACAAGAACTGTTTGACTGGGCCTCAGAAAAACGTAGTGATATGCAACTGAGTATAAAATGCCTAAGACGCATCACATTCGAGTTATGCGCCACTGCAATACTTGTTGCAATAATCTCTTTTGGAAGATGCAAACACTTTTTTCTGAAATCTGATTGATGTAAGACAAGTCTGTAATTGTCCAGTAGCGCACTGACAGGGTTTTGTGTCCATGGTTTCTTATACACTGCTTTCATCTTTCTTAGCGTTCCAACGTCAAAATATTACTGGTTGATACACAAGAAACAAATGTAAAATAAAAACTAAAATAAATGCAGAAAACCGTTGCAGTCATTTTCAATGTGTATTTAAAGTCGAAGTAATTTGAAGGCGGGAAAATGGTAAAAATATTTTTTTAAACTACAGTTCAGCGGTCTAATAATTCTGTAAATAATTCACAATAATGTGTTTTGAGGGTAAATTTTGAGATTTTTTCTAGTCTGATCCAGAGTCCTAAGACAATAACAATATTTTTATGGTCCCGCCGAAGGTCTAAGAAATCTCACTTCGGCGGCTTCAATGTGTCTCTTATCTGTTCTACTGAGGGTTCAATCTTCACTGCCATAGGTCATCATTGGAAGTGCCATTGTTTTGGAAAATTTCATTTGAATACCTGCACGTGCTTTCTGAGGGTTTATCGAACATTTTCTGAATTTTTATATTCATTCTTTAATTCATTTTAATATCATTTTTTTGACAGTATAAGAAACTACAATCGAGATAGTTGAAGTTATTTACTTGTGCACGCCGCTACGATTAATGACTATTTCACACCTTAAATGATTTTCACGGTGAAATGCTGTGGCTCTCGTTTCCTTTGACGAAAATTGTAGGTTGCAGCTTTCGCCTAAGTTGATAGGCAGCTATTGTAACGTATTAGCCAGCGTGCCTCGCGGCATGTATTTGGGGACGCTTGGTAAGGGATTAGTAAGAGGAAACTCCTCGCCACAGGAAGGAGAGAAGGGTTTTCCCTTAAAGCAAGAACGCTGAAACTGAAGACACGAAGCTTTAGGGTCTTCCGGAGACCCGAACCCTTAATGGCTAGCAATAGACCGCGGCGGGGGTGGCGTGACGTAGTAGGTCACGTGAGCCTCGACGGAGTGCACAGAGCCAGTGGGTGGGTTCTGGAGACAATGGGAGAACCTCGTGCAGTTGTACAAAACTTGGCACCACGACGGTGCATCGGCGGGCCGGGCTCGCGAGGCAAGTCACGTGTTGACGAGCCTGTGGAGGACTTTGTGTCCTTGGGTGACTGCCGTCACGTTGGGGCGATGCTGTGTGCGTGCTCCGAGGTGACGAGTAGTTGAGTGCCACGATTCACGCCGATTCTCAATCGGGTAAGATCGCTCCTGCGATCGAGGCAAACCATCAGTTGGTACGCCAGTACAGACTTTGTGTCCCAGTGTGACCGGTCACGGAAGCTAGGCTTTGTGCGCGCTTCAGAAGTAGGAGTGGCGAATGCCACAATCGAAACCGATCATCAATTGGGTTAGGATCGCTCCCGCGATTAGGGGATAGTAGGTCTATCAGAGCTAGGGTGTAAGAAGGAAATTCATTGTAAATTTTTCTTGTGTTTTCTTTGTAAATAAATATTTGCCATATGAAAGCTCTGTGTCTGTGTTCGCTGTGAGTATCCATGACGTCACACCATTTAGAGATTATCGTCTGAGGTCATATTTTGTCTAATAAAGTAGGTAGTTATTCCGAATGCTTCAGCGGCAATAAACACTCAAAATTTGATTTGAAAAAATGTTTTCTTGGCAAAAATTTGCATTCGAGAAGCATAGAAACATTTCAGAAATATGTAAGTGGTTTATTTGCAAAATAAATAATTATATTTTCATATATTATAATTAACAGAAATAAAAAGCTTCCTATTTACACAATTCGACTACATTTTTATTTCTCTGTTAATAATTTTTGGCGCAACTTTCCCCGTTTAATTTTCGCATTTTTTTCTACTATGGCGTACTTTTGTTTGTTAGCTATTTTGTTCAATGTCTGAGTGACAATCACATCAGATTGTGACTCTTATCTTAAATATTTTTTATCTTCGATTAATGTTTGTGACTCTTATCTTAAATATTTATCTTCGATTAATGTTTTGATTTTGCCATTCCAATTTTTTAATCTTTTCTTCCTTGTACCTCCACACCTTTTACCAATTTTTAAAACCTTTCGAAAATCTTATTCTTATCTTAGAGTTATAATGAACTACTCACGGTTCATTTGGCAAGGAACCTTTCAACCATCTTCTGTGGGGGTACCTTTAGCAATCAATTGATATCAAGACGGCTGTGATTCTTTTTGCTTCATCGGCATTTGAACGTTGGACAATATCTAGGTTGTTAGACGCAGTAATTCTCCGACAGGGAAGAGGAATTTATTTTCATTACGTTTTCTAATAAACAATACCAGGACACCCACTCCCGCGAGCATTACTGACAGAATGAGCTAAAGAGCGCAGACGCGTTGCTTTCAACCAGGGCGGGCGCAGGCCGAGCACGTGCGTGAGCGCCTGCAAGAGCGCCTGCGTGAGCGCGTGCCTGCGTGAGCGCGTGCGTGAGCGCCTGCGTGATCGCCTGCCTGAGCGCCTGGGTGAGCGCGTGCGTGAGCGCGTGCGTGTGCGCGTGCGCGAGCGCCTTTGTGAGAGCCTTTGTGAGCGCGTGTGTGAGCGCCTTCGTGAGCGCCTGCGTGAGCGCGTGCGTGATCGCCTGCGTGATTGCCTGCGTGATCGCCTGCGTGATCGCCTGCGTGATCACCTGCGTGAGCGCGTGCGTGAGCGCCTTCGTGTGCGCGTGCGTGAGCGCCTGCGTGATCGCCTGCGTGAGCGCCTGCGTGAGCACTTGCGTGAGCGCGTGCGTGAGCGCTTGCGTGATCGCCTGCGTGAGCGCCTGCGTGAGCAGCGCCCGTTCCTGTTCCTGTTCCAGAAGACCCTGGACGCCAACCGTTACGCCACCAAGAAGACGATCGCGCAGGGCATGCTGGACATCGCGCTGCTCACCGCCAACGCCAGCCAGCTCAAGTACATCCTGCAGGTCGGCAAGGAGCACGAGTTCTACACGCTCATGGTCACGCTGATCTCCGTGTCCATCATCCTGCAGGTACGCCCCCGCCCTTCCCTTCCACTGCCGCATTAAGCCCGTGGCATAAAACTCCTCTTATCCTCCGTCCCTTGTTCAATGTCTCCCTGTAATTGTAACATAACAGTACAACAATACAAACTGTTCTTATTTAACTTTATTACCGAACAGAGATGTACGCCCGTGTAATTCAGTCGTATCAAGAATCGAGTTTAATTTCTTATGCAGTTGCAGATTCTGCACGTTTCGGAAAAGGTGGGGTAGTATCTAGATGCGCTGCACCAGCAAAAGGTAATGAACGTCCAAAAGATGTGTCCCTGCAGATCACGACGCGAGGCAAAGGCTCTCCTTGTGGCAAAGGCCTCAAACTCCAGGGTCGGAAGGCCCCAGAACGCTTCCTTTTGGAATTAGGAAACTATACATTAATTCATTTGACACGAATATTTCGATGTGCTTTTTAAACAATCTTTTATATTTTAAAGTGAAAGTGCAATTTCTCAGGTCCCCGTTAAATGCTATTGCATTCGAGCCCTCACACATGAATGTTGGTTGTGTGAGAGGTGCAGAACCCACTCAACTAGTATACTATTGAAATATTATATAAGAGGATTATTGAGGGTAGGGCCGTAGAAGTTTGGAACATGATTAATGGAGATAATGGAGATAACATCCGTTATGTTTCAAATGTAAAAGTAAGTAATTGAGAGGTTACAGTGAAGAATAAACAATGCACGGACTTTAAAAGTTATGAAATCGACGCGTTTTTTATGATTTGTACAATTTAGTGTATGAAAATACATAATTAAGAAAAAATTTGATATCATTAAGGTTTTTGAATATCCAATCATTTTCAAGCTTCGAAAGTTGAAATGTTCCATGTAAAAAATGTAGCGTTACTTTTTCACGCAACGCGCACTCGCAGCGCGCACTCGCGGCCCTTCCGCATTTGCCCTTCGCCCCGACCTCGCCCGCCCGCGCGCCTCCTTCTGCCTCGCCCCGTCTCAAGTGCGAAACAGCCGATTCTCGCTCATACTCGTGTTAGAAAATGTGCAGAAGTGAAGTGCACTGATTCGCGCCCTCTCGCTCTATCTCGATCCGATGCCTTTCTGATCCTTTCGGCTCCCCGTAGTCATCATCAACGGTGCTGAGGCCAAGTATTTCAAGCTCCTAATACTGAAATTAATAAATTTACAATCGCATGAAATCTGAGCTTCCAAAATACTGAATTATTAATATCCTTCACGGAAGTCAACCAAAGTGTAAGTATCCTTTAAAATCAAATTATCCGTTTGACACTCCCAAATCCTCATTCAGATCGATCAGGAATTATCAATTTTGGAGAAAATCGGTTGAAGGGCTTAGGAGCTAGCGCTGACGAAGGCGGACAGAGAAGCGTTTTGCTGTCGGTCGACTTTTCGGCATCAAGGACCCACAAAACTTGAATTCGTGCTACACCAAGCGTTAAAGAGATTTGGATCTATAGCAGCTGAATGTATCCACGTTTTCGTAAGTAGGGCCCGGCAATGGGAGATTTTCTGATGAAACGATGACATAACTTCCTCTTCTTACGAAGTCCTTCATAAGTGCGAGAACGTAATAAAATCTCCGGAACCGTTGCGAATATCACAGTAAAACAAAACTAAGTTGATCCCATGGGTATTGTCTATAATGTACTTAAATTTCATGTTGATACATTCAGTAGTTTCTTTAGTTCAGTCGGGTCATTCAGTCAGTTAATTTGACGTGAGATACCTTTTAGTAATCGAATAAGGAAGTTGAAAATGAGTTTAAAAGTTGAAAATTCGAAAATCACATACAAACACTTCCGATTTTTATCTATATTGATTGCATTTGTAAATAGAAGAATAGATGATTTTCAATATTCTTAGTTTCTCTAAAACAATACTTTTCTGTTAAAACGTGTTTCAAATTTTGCATTTTCAGAATATCTAAAACGACACTTATTCAAAATCGGTTTCAAATTTGTAAACGCTAATTTGCATGGAATGTTCCTTTTGCCTTTGCGAAGCCTACGAGTATGCGGAACGACTTTTCCCCAAGTGTTTCTTCTTTCTTGGATCCGCTTCTATGCAACTCCACGTGCACAATCCTTTCCAGCGGCCTTCTGTCACTGTTAAACGCTGCCAAATGCCTTCTGCCCGCTCAGTGGCTGAGTGGGAGTCGTAGTGTGGTTGTGTCAAAAAAATTAAACGGCGCACATTTTGTTTGAGGGGGAAAATGCTTGCTTCTTCCATCCGTTCCTCCGTTTTTAACTCTTTCATTCGGTTTTTCTTTTCTGCCAAAAGCCGTACCATAGTTCTACCTCACTATTAATGTTGTCCAGGTTGTAAGAAACAGAACATTGTGATTGTTGTCTAAACTTGTACTGACACCCCAAGAGACCCCCACACACACACACACACAGACGGGTGCAATGATAGTAGAGGAAAATTGTCAGCGACACTCTTTCATCCAACGACGATATGAACGAATACGGATGCAGTATTATTAGGGATCTTTTAAAAAACTCTTCGCTTGATGATGCTGGTTCGTTGGAACGATTTTGTTCTAGTAATTCTTTATATTTGGTGTTCAATCTCAACGATTGGCGCCATAGTTTTGGCTGCATTGACAGAATATCATGGCCCACACCGTCTGCCACGATTCTTTTGATATGCTTTAGACAATGAAACATGTTCAAAGGTCCTTTGCTACCGGTTCTACAAGAGCCGAATACATTGCTAACTGGACGCGCAGAAATTCAGTTCCTTTTTATGGCGGCAGAATGTAGTTGGAAAGCAGTTTTCTAGTAGTAGCTGTCAAATGGGAGACAATTTGACATCGTGGTTTTGATTAAGTGTTGTCGTGCGATGCCAACAAACGTCCCAGTTTCCATTTCAAAATTACTACCTATCGTTTGAATAAGACAACCAGACACTGTTGTGCACGTGAACGCTTCCAATTTAGAGGAAATTAAACCGGACACAAGCACTTTGGCCGTGCTCCTGATGGAACCCGATTCAACAGCAGCCTCGTCCTCGCCACCAACGACGAGGAACGTGGAACGCGCAGCACCGGCGGCGCCTTCTCTCCACCTATCGGTGTTGGTTCCTCTGTCGCTGTAGCACACCTTTTCCCTCATGTCTAGAGCGAGCCATCTCCCTACGAATTTGAGTGGCCGACAATACGGAACCGGTAATCCTAGGTCAAAATACATCCATCAGAATCAATCAGTGATACGACGAGATCAGGCTAGCTCTTCCGCCTCCTCACCGCAAACGTCCCACCGCTCTTTTAGCAGAGAATGCGTTCATTCGTGCACTCAAACAAGCGATCTGAATTCAGCACAGAAGCTTGTCTGCGGCTTGAGGATTTTTTACATGCATTATACGTACAAGCCGGCTTTTCTTCAACTGCGGCTGCCGGCGCGCGCCCGCCCTAGTACGCACATGGCACCATCAACATGACAGATTCATGAAATCACAAAACATAATCCTTCACTTACTGGCGGCAACGCCATGTGCATAGCCTTCGAACCTTCGCAACTTCGTGTGAGGTACACGAGCGGCAGTGCTGAATAAATCCTCGCGAGCTGAGTGCTTCTGAGCAGGTCACGTGACGTCCCACAGCACTGGTGGAGAACAGGCAGAGTCTCTTATATGCTGCCGGTACCACAATCAGTCTGATTAGTTTCATAAAATGCCCGGAGAATGTGTCAACAGAGCCACATATTGTGTGGGGGAAGGTTTTGAATGAACCGTGTTAGCGATTACAATTTTGAAATATGAGAAAATTGTTTATTACATTCTCTGATTTCTTTAAAAATTATTTGTTAGAAAGATGGTTACATTCCTACTAACCTGCTATTCACCTTTTCTCCTCAAACCTAAAACGTGATCGTTCAGGGCTCTCAAACTTTTCCATAAACGGTGAACGCTGTTCAGGGCAACAGCCCTAAGGAAAGCCACGATACCTCCGAAACGATACCTGGAAACCTCCGTATTGCTGCCCTCGACGTGGTGTCACCCCCACAGCCGAGAGCCTTCGCGTGATTGGCCGCGGGAGCCTACGATTGTATTGTCCATTATCCGTATTCTTGACGGGGAGAAACTAAACAAGCACATATAATACACACCGAAAATTGCGTCACTTTGACATTTATTGTAATTTTTGGACGGTTAAGGGTATTGCCATGCAGTTTACACGAAGATATGAGGTAATAAGAAAATTAACGACGTATTTTGTATTATGTAGTTGTATTCTACACGATTTTGAGCTTTTTTCCTTCTTCGATTTGTGACTATAAAATATTTGAAAAAAATGATGAAGCTGTAGGTTCAATTCCCGGCCGGGATGACTATAACTTTGAATCGTTTTTAGTATTAATTAAATATTCCTACACACAGTAATAAGTTCATATCATGGATAACATTGCAACTTTATGCAACGTATGTCGGACGCAATTGATAATTCCAATTGTTGAAAATTGTGCAGAAAATGATGTTTTTAAATCTCGCATGACAGACATCAAATGACGGATGCAATGGTCTAATATTGCCTTTTAGCAGGTGTCACTTCTTGAGTAATTCCAGTTTTGAGATTGACGTACAACGGAAGTATCGGTCGCTTTTCTTGTCCATCCCGACAGCGGCAACGACAGATGCAACGCTCTAAGCGAATATACTAAGTCCTTGCGGCTGCCAAATGAAACTCGTTTCTTATCTGAACCAAAATGTACATTTTCACCCAGAAATTGTCACGGAAGTATTGGCGGGCTCGCGAAATCTAAAATGAGACCCATACTATTTTTAGGCACGTCTACCTCCCCCGCTTCGCTTGCCTTCCCCTTCCCAGACTCATTTGCATTGCAAATGGCGACGCCCTGCCAAGGCTGGCTCAAGTGCACTGGGTCACGGTCCACGTTCCAGAACAGTGGCGGAGCGGGGCGGAGCGGGGCGGAGCGGGGCGGAGCGGGGCGGAGCGGGGCGGAGCGGGGCGGAGCGGGCAGGGAGTGAGGGGCGCCGTTGGCGGTGGCGTTGGCGCAGGTGCTCATGGGCGTCTTGTTCCTCACGCTCAACCTGCTGCGCGACTGCCGCCTGCACCAAGAGGAGTACCGCACGTCAGCGCTGGCCATCAACTACGCCACCATGGCCATGTCGGTGGCGGTGGGCGCGCTCAACCTGCTTACGTCGGCCTTCGACCCCACGCTGGGCGCCCTGCTGGAGGCTGCGCAGGCTGGGCCCGGGCCCGACGTGCCGGCGGCGGCAGCGGCCTAGCCTCCTGCTCTAGCACTTACCGCCCTCCAAACAGTTGGAATTTTTTACCCGCGTTTACTATAATTGATTAGTTCCCGCGAAGAGCGGTCTAACCCGCAAGAACATATGTTTAGGAGAGTCCCAATAATTTGTGTTGAAACACCTCGTATCTATGTAGTAAAGAAATAGTTCTGCAACTGCAAGTGCGGCATTTTTAATATCACATTTTGCTGGATGCGAGAATTTTTAAAATATGGAAACGGTTTTGGGAAAATTGTTTTAATTGCATTTAGTGCAGGCAGAAATAATGTAAAAACTACTGATTTTCTTTAAATAATTGTGCATGATCTATGTTAAACATTTAATTTTTTAGAACAAATTTCATTTAAAAATATCAGTCTTAAATATTGTTTCTTCAATGTTAATTTTTCGACAATTCAGTGTTCAGCGAAAATGAATCTAGCACGAGTTTATGTTTCATACATGTACGTGTTTATAATAAGAAAATTTAAGGACCAATTTGTCTTTAGAGAAAATAATTATTTTAATATTGCCTATATTTCACACAAAATTACGCGAAATCTACTAACATTGTTAAAAAATTGTACCTGATCTTATTGGAAGATCTGCTTTGGTATATCAGATTTCATTAAAGAAAAATTCTGTCTTAACTATTTTGTTTGTGGGAAAACACCGAAGAAAGAGCACCATTCATGTAAGCTTTATTTACGCTATTCGAGATCAAAGCTCAGCAAAAAAATTGGAGCCAATTTTGTGAAAATATTCAAGCTCAATGTAAAGTATTCCCAAACATCAAAAGCTCCGTTTTAAACTTGCAGGGTCTTGAGTTCATTCACATCCACCAGGAGATATCAATTTTTGTAGAAATTCGTCGAAACTGTTTGGGCGCTCGCGTTGACCACAGCCAGTCAATGAACGTTTTGTTTGTAAGGACCAGAAAACTGATTCTGCGTATACGATATGTTGGAGGAATTAATTTGCTTAAAAACGAACAAGATTTAGGCGTATTTTTTTTGCCAGGCCCGACAATAAAGGTTTTTTCTGTCGAAAATTTGCTTTTTTCGGCGCATGATTGAAATATGCTTTTCATACAAAACAAGAGCGAGAAATTAAAACTGAATTAATTTTGTTTCTATATATAATAAATTACGTCATCTTACACAGTGGATAGTCAGAATTCATGTTTTGTGGGTCCTTGACACCGAAAAATCCATCGACAGGAAGACGGAGAGAATAAGAGATGCTTAAAAGAATTTCACAGGTCTCATTGACATCGAACACTCTGAATTTTCGAAAATTGGAAAAGGTAGAAATAGAGCGATGACAAAGTACGTGCAGGTGTAACACCACTCTCTTCATTAGTATGAGGTAGCGGTTCACATCGATTCAGTTTCAGTGTCTGCACGACGTGAAATAATTTCATTTTCACATCTTCGTAAACAGTACTTCATTTTCGCAGGCAATAGATCGCATGCACAGATCGCCCATTGCTGGACTTTCTCATTGAAAATAACGCCTTTCTCAAATGTCTTATGTGAACTGAGATTAAGGGACCCCACCTCGATGTACAATTTTTTTTACTGTAGCATTTCCTGGAAATTTGTAGATCTAAATTCGGAGCAGCTATTCAATTATCTATAATTTATTCCTCTATTCTGTAGTGTTTATTATGTAAAATGCAATGTTTATTACTTACAATTCGAAACAAATATTCACAGAAAATATATAATTTGAATTTATAATAAAAATGAATCAAAAAATTGATGAAGGTTTTTTAGTTCAAAACAAAAATACTACATTAAAAATACAATGGAGAAAGCAAAAACTGCGTTTTTTATGTCGGGATAGAAACCAATCGTAAATTTATTTTGGATCAAGACCATTTTTCAAACGTTTGACTTTATTTCGCTTTCTTAAGGTCTTACCCAGCTAGAATTCCCTTAAAATGAATTACCAAAATATAGTTGTACGTTTTTGATTGTACGGAAATTGATGTTTGTGTCATTTAATAAATGTCCCTGTTGCCTGACCCTAGCCGGCCCCTCTCGCCCCGTCCGTTCCTTGGGCAACGAGCTGCGGCGAGGGCTCGTCACGAATGAAAAAATCCGACTCTCCCATTAGCAACCACCACATGCAAAGAGAACTTGCACACTTCTTTATCACTAATCGTAGGGAGGTGAATATTATTCAATTTCAAAACCATATCGATACACCATCGATTAACGATTTTTAAGTGACTCGTGCTACTCAATGGTGACAATTTGAGTGAAAATGTCAGTTCACTGGAAGGCATAGTGTAGTATTGCATTAAGAAGACATTAGATCCTAGATGCAGGAGACTGATTCACGTCTCCTTAATTGTTTTGTACCGTTACACTTTGTCCTTTGTACAGTTATCCATCAAAGTTTTTTCGAAAACTTTCATCAAAGATTCTTGTGAAGACATTGTACAAAAATCCCTGCAATATAATCGTTACTGAACTCATTGACATCATTTATTTGATACCCATTATCCCGATACACATATTTTGTAGTTTCGCTGTGAAAATCGTCTCTGCCAAGGAGCTTTAAGACGCTGTGAGAGCGGGCGTTATGCGCCTCGCCTGAGCCTGGGGAAGGTTAAGGCTGAAGGACGCCTCTTTAGAAAGTCATTTTCAAGTCATTTTCGTGGTCAGAAAATGGATGTTTGTTATGACGATATCGAAACCGGATGATGGAATCCTCGAATTTCACACGGTCATTGCCTTTTTTGCAAGAAATGACGATTAAAATACGTCCTCTGGACGCCACAAAAATCGCGCAGATCAAATCATCTACTACAAAGGTAATTAGCGTTGTGGATGGAACGAGACGTTTATAGAATGCAGTACGTGGGACGGGAAGTGTCGCCAGGAGCTTCAACCCCAACTCCATGCGAATGTTGACTGTGCGAGGCGTCTTGTCCGAGAGAAGAGGGGC